AATTGCTATGAAAGTAAATTGCTGAGTTTGTCAGGATGAAGTTAATGATTCTGAATTTGGATAGTTGGTAATTTTACATAAAAATTATTTCATTTCCTTCCCTCCCCCCCTTCCCAAGATAGGCTGTAGATGCAGAAGGTAGGGAAAATAACTGACTACAGATCTCATGCCATTGCAAAAAGTAAACCAGGCCACAATGACATGCTCTTTAGGTGAGACACAACACACAATCCTCACACTTGTGCAAACCTTTTATTAAAGCAACAATCAAAATACAGGATGAATCACATTTTTTTCCTACTATAACATCAACTTAAATATCAGTCATTTGTTTCCATATTTAAATTACTTTTAAAAAGGTTGAACATTTATAGTTCACAAAATCGCCAGTTTGACATTTTCCCCAGGTAAAATTTTTTACTTTCCAATTTTAATACAGGATATGCAGATGTAGATATATAGCAAACCAAACAGAAATTCAAGCATCTTCTTGGACCCTAATTCACTGTAGGCAGCTCTATGGTGTCAGAGAAATACATTTGAAGGCTATTGTTACAGGTTAAATAAAAAACAATTCATGCTAAGATATTCTTAGAGCTAATTGTTTTATAGTTTTACATTCTCTAAAGCTTTAATTTTGATTGTGGTAGTCTAAGTATTAGCTTCCTTAAAATTATATCTCTATAGAATCATAAAGATCATTGCCAATCTCATATGATATTTTCTTGTATAACTCTTAGTCCTTTGGAAAACATAATAAGCAATTCTATTTTACCTGATTCTGCCCCCCCCACACTGATTTATTTCATCCAAACCAGATTAATCTTTGTAGAAGCCCCACGAAAGGCATTAGGAAAATGAATGTTGTCATCTACTGAAGGGCTTTTAAAAGAATAGGTAAATATAAAAATGAATATTTTTATCTTAAAGATATCAGGTGTTCAAAATATGTTTGGGAATATACAATGAGATCTGGTAGGTATTTAAAGAGTACAATAAATTAGTTTAAAAATCTAGTAGAAACAGGAATAATAATCTTAAGGGATTGCTAAAAGGATATGGGAAGATAGGTACAGGTCAGTAGTTGAACTGTGCTGAGTATAAAATAGAGCATCTGAAAGAAGAGTTAAACGCTCCATTTTCTTACCAAATGAAACACTGAGAGGAAGTCTTCCTTTTAACAGAACCGTTTCAGAGTTTCAACACTGGCACAATATTTCCATTTGCAAATAAAAGATGCCAGATTTGCCATTGTAAAATGGTTCCTCTCATGGTTGGGATTGGTATTTCTATAGTGAACTTGATTTGTGTTGGCTGCATCACATTGAGAGTGTGCCTGTACAAAACATGCAAATATTCATTGTGCCTCACATTTTCTTCATGTACTAAAGAAGTGAGATCTTAGATCACTAATAAATAACAACCCAAGCATTAGACTTAAAACAGGTTATTAGCCCATTAAATAATCTACAGAGCCATAGTTAAATTCTGTCTTTCCATTAAGTTGTTTTCTTATCTCACACTTGCCCTTTAAAGGGAAGCTTAAACAGCATACACAATTAAAAATGCAGCAAACAACAAAAAAGAAAAAGAAAGAAAGGGGATTCCAGAATCCATAGTTTTGAAAAAGAGGAATGCTTATAAACATCTGAAAAGATCATTCTTGATGTAATGATGACACAATAATGCTTGGTATGGGTGAGAACATTCACAGATTTTCAGAGTGATTTCTATAGATTAGGCATCACGTTTAGTTCCTAGAGATTTCAGTCAGTCAAGTATTAGTATTTCTTTTTATTAAGTATGATATACAAAAAGATGAGAAGAGTAGATGTGCCTTAACGATATGAAAATATAATATATTAAACAAAACCACTATAAATTACATATTTTTCAGTATAAATGTTGTTTCATTTACAATAAATACCATCCAAGTTTGCAGACACCTACGTGAATGAAATATGCATACATATCTGAATTATTTTCAGAATTTCAGGAAAAAAATTGCTAGAATATAACCAGATGACTCATAAACCCAAAATTGTTTGATTTTGAGAATGACTATATATAACCCAAGGAACATGGCTTGGGATTTGGTGTTAAGCTTTTAAAACTGCCCAAATGAGTCTAACGTGTGTTGTGTGTTGTGTGTTGTGTGTTGTGTGTGTGTGTGTGTGTGTGTGTGTGTGTCTATGAATCTTACTGATCTTTGAAAATCAGCTGAAAGTCACAAGGTCATCTACATTTCATATTCTAGCAGGAGAACCTTTCTCCCTTTGTAAGAAGCAATAGAATGGATAGGAAGAGTGTAGAATTTCTGGGAGGAGAAATCTGTGTTGTAAGCCAATTTCCCTTTAGATTGGCTATTATTATATCAAGAGCTTTTTGATGCTTCAAAGAAGGAGAACATTTTGATATAATCTCAGTCTAAAGAAGCTAAAAACAAAATGGAAACATTCTTTGGTCACATATTTCTGCTCCTACTTCATAAAAAATTTGCCCATTTTAAACATTTTACCCTGAATCAATGTCTAGACAAAATACTAGATGCCTTCTCCTGTAATTTAATGTGGAAATATGCACATGGGTTTGGGTGGAATGAAAACAAAATACATTGAGAAACAGTTATCACAATATCCCAAAGTGAGCTTAAGTCTCTATTGTTTTGGACATCCAGGTCCCTGGTAAGAGTTTGTTGACCTCTAAACAAGTGAAAAATATTTATATTCTGAGAGTTGGAGATAAAACTTTTCTTCCCCCAAATACATAAAATCCCAGTCAGGGGAGCCCATCAAGAAGCATGGTTTCTCTTGTTGCTCACTACTAATTTCTTTATGTGACCACCCAAGTTGCCAAGAGTTCATTCTTGACCAAGAGATGTCTGATCAAACTCCACATCTAGTGAGTTTACCTTCAATATCAGGAGTAAAAAAAAAAAAAACCATCAAAATCATTTATAAGGCCATACCCACTGCCCTCAGCTACAGAGCTAGAGACATTTGCTGTAAAGTTTGGACAGCAAAAGCATCCAACCTCATGTACCCATTTTTGTTCTTAATATTGCATGTTTCATGTTATGGGGGCCACCATGAGAGATTACAAATTTTCCATAATACTTTAAATGTCTGAGCTAGAACCGATTTGGTGATCAAGGAGTACAACAACCCCTATACTTTGCAAGTAAAAAAGATTAAACACCAGAATGGACAAGGGAACTGTCCAAGGTCACTTATCTAGAGAGTGACAGATTAAGAACTAGACATCTTCATCTGCTCTCTCATCACCAATGTGGTCCATGTAACTAACTTCCAATTTCATGATCCTTATAACCGCTTTAAGGTTAGTGTCTCCCTCTTCCTAAGTGAAAATGAAATAATACCACTTGTTCTCATCATGATTAAATCTAAATTGTAGAAGTAGTCAAATGATAATTTGGAGGGGAAGGAAGGGAGAAGATCCACAATTTATTTAAAATGCTATGGTTTTTTAAAATCATACTTACACATTGAGTAAGTAATGCAGCATAAACAACATTAGAGATACAAATGAAAATCTTTAAAGTAACTGTGAAAAAGAACAAGGACAATCATATTGGTTTGGTTCTGTGTGAGAATGAGACTACTTAAATGGTGCTCAGATCTCACCAAGTCTTCCGCCTCTGACAGATAATGAAACTGAAACCCAGACTTGCCCAAAGCCAGGCAGCTGGTTATTGGCACTGTCAGGTAAGGTGTTGGCCTTTGGATGACTAGTTTTGTCTTTTGTCTATAACATCATTCTACCTTACATAAACTTTCTTTTGAGATTAAAGATTAATTTAATACTTTTGGCATGAAATTTGATGGTACAGTTTCCTATACTTTTATTATAATACTAGAGGCCCGATGCACAAAATTCATGCAAGGAGCTCAGCCATCGTGGCCCTGGCTTTATCTGGAAGGTAATCCAGATGGTCGTTCTGCTCACGTCTAATTAGCATATTAGCTCTTTATTATCCTTCCCTCCAACTCCTTGGGTAGCCAATATTCTACAACCCTACAGGGATTCAAATGCCTCTGACTTATGAAGCAATAAAATTTCCCAGTAAAGATCAGGGTTTTTGTGTGTTTTTTTGAGGATGATGTTACTTAAATGTAAAAACAGCAGTTTTCATGGTTATTATGGGTATACTTAACCTTTTATAATCTACCATCACCACCATACTTCAGTTGAACTCACACAAAGGTTCTCAGAATTGGACAGGTAAACACGTTTTCATTTGGCTATTAAAGTGCTGTTCCTGGGCAAAGTTTTTCTCAGTTTTACTTACAGCAGCTTTTTTGGAAACAAGTAAAAAATCAAGGTATGAAAATAGGCCTTGGGAATAACAAAAACAAGGAGTCTAGTGACTACTCTGGAACATTATAAATGACTTTTAGATATCAGCCCTGGTACTGGTGACTGATACCAAAGCCTCTGAGGTAAATGTTCTAGGGAAAAATAAGGACATAGAAGACTAAATCAGAAAGAGCAATTAGTATTAATATAATAACAACTACTCCATTTCAAGGAACAGCGAAAGGAACAAGGACTGAGAAGAAAGTGCAACAAACCCATATACGTGCATTTGCTATTGTAGCAGACCTATAATTTTTTTTTAAAGAAAAGCAATGCAGTGTGCATTGGACAGGGCTCTTGAACTCAGAATTTATCTTACAGTAGTGTACTCTTTGCCAAAAGGGCATCACCAGTGAAGGTATTTGGCAGAGAATTGTCTCTAAAACTTGTATCACTTGGACAATAGCATCAATTCTGCACCCTGATGTTTCCTGCATCCTTTTCTCCTGGGGAAGGTCCAGTCACAAGGACTGCACACAGGTATTTCCCCTTCTACAATAGCATCACTCCTACCAAAGGGATGAGAGTCTCCTGGTAAGGCTTAGCGGCAAGTGCGTACTACATCTGGACTACGAGGAGCAGCCCCTGATTTTCTTAATATGCATAGCTTTTCAAAGTTGATATTAGACATGGCTTTCATAAATAATGCAGGTGTTTCTTTCATGTGCCACTGCCAGCTCTGTAGTTTCCAGGTGGGCTGGTGGCGGGGCTTTATCTGATACCTCAACAGCCATGGGCTCAACAGGTGTGGGCTCTTCAGGTGTTAGCTCTGTGGATGTTACATCTGTAGAAGGCTCTACAGTTTCTGGGGATTGTTCAGGTGACAGTTCTGTGTCCTCTTCATCTTTGATATCTTCAAACTGTACACCCTCTTGGTCATCCACGTGATCTTTTTTGGACTGTGGATGCACGGACACCTTGATGGCAATCTGCTGTGGCTGTTCATGCAGCGATGAGGCGTCTGAGTCAGCGGTGGGGGAGTCACTTCGCTTCAGAGAGTTTCGGATCATGTACACCTCATCCCTGTCCATGGCCTCCTGGCCTTCTGGCGTGTGCTGCACAAAATTCTGCCCCTGCTCCTCCAGCCTGACCACCTCCATGATTTCCTCCATGATGGTTCTGCAGTTCATAATGAGAGGAGGCAGCGGCACGCTCCTGGCCAGCTCTTCAATGTAGCGGGCAAACTCCATGGTTTTGAACTGGGTGACTTTGGCAAGCTCTAGAGTTTTGGCTGAGGTGATGATGGGGATCCGCTTGGCGATCTCGAATGCCTTCTGCAGCTTCTCTGCGCCTTCTGTCCTAAAGAACTCGTTGATGGCCTTCTCCGTCTTCTTCAGGTGGCTGCTCATCATACACAGGCGGGTGATGTTGAGGACCATGACGATGGTGAAGGCCACGAGGCAGACCACCATGTAGTAGACACCCATGTCTCCCGAGGTGAAGATGACGCGCAGGGTCACCGTGTTGTTCACAATGCCATAGGCGTTGGAGGCAACGCATGTGTATTTCCCTCGGTCTGAAAAAGACACCTTGGTGATGTTCAGGAGGCCGCCCTCGTGCATCTGCCATTTTCCTGTTGGGAGAGAACATTCGAAGAAAAGTCATACGGTTTCTATGAAGTGGCTATAAGCTTACTAGAAATATTTTCTATTGATGATAGCAACAGTACCTTTATTGTGTGCCAGACATTGACATGTATAAACTCAATCTTCACAACTACTCTGTGGGATTACTAATACTAGTCTCACTGTATAGGACGACAAAACGGAGGCACATTAGATTGAACCATGTTCCTAAGATCACCAGTTTGGAAGTAGTAGAGCTAGAAGATGAACTCAAGTTCAAGAGTCGGTACTCTTTAAACCACCAAAGCGTACTGTAAAATTTCACATCCTAGTGAAAAATAAGAAAAATAAACAATCTGGAAAATACTGTGCTCTTACTAGAGAATTCCTTCACTGTAGTATCTGATTTTCTAACCTGCCTGTGAGCATGGCTCTGTTGAACACTGGGGAGTTTAATGCTTCTCAGAATATCAAGTAGTTTAGGACCAACATAAAATCTGGAGTAAATCAAATTAAGTTATAATTGTTTGCTGGTTGTTCATATTTGACATTGAAGTTGTCCTTGATTAAAACATGATTATATCATTAATTTTGAGAATCTACAATAAATTATCTATATTACTTATTTTATTAGCTAACGATGTGAAGAATAAGAGGTTGGATATGAACTAATATCAATTTGTTTTAGTCTTGCAAATAAATGACAGACTCATCAAACTGAAAGTAAGCCTCACACAGTAGAAAATACATGTTGATAACATAAATACTTCCCTCTGGCCTGGAAAGGACTTAGTATTGCCTTGTGAATGAGGTTCTGAGTCAGGCAAAACTCTTTAGTTAGGGTTAATTCCTAGTCTGCCTGTATACCCATAGGTCAGATTATCCCTGGAGAAGGGAGGGTCCAGGTCAGGCCTTGGGGGAGGTCTAAGGAACAGAGCAGGCGGGTATTTCTCCTTAAAAACACTCCAGTTCCCCATGCTAGCTAGAGGACCTCTCCTGAGAGACTGGACTATTTAACATGTAGTTTCCTCTTAAATTCCTATTATTGTGTAGGCTTTTTACTTGTTTCATCCCTCCTGGCAGTGACTTTTAATTCTAATTAAGAGTCTGATATTTCCCAAAAGCAACAAGCTAAATGCTCCTTTTTAAAACTAGTGAGCACATATGTGGCCAAGGGATAAGGCAACAGAGGGCCTTCTATACTCCTCCATCGTTCTGCTTCCACATGGTGATTGCAGTCCCAGGAACATTCTGAAGGAGGCTGGCAGGAGCGGTGAGGTGCCTCCTGCAGGCCACAGTCCCTGACTTACTAGTCATGGGGAGTCTGACAGGATGCCCTTAGTGGGTGCTGTCACATTACTTTGCTTTCTGAAAGAACATCTGTGAAGAGTGGTCCCTGGTGTCCCTGCCTAACCCTTTTCTAACAATTTGGCCAGTATATTTTCTCAAGAGTAGAAAACACTGGTTTGGAAAATCTAGCGAAATGTTCAGTCTCTGTGAATGTGCAACAAACAAACCAAGCACCCAGTCTGTGAAATTCTCTCTCATTCGCACGAGGCGGGGAAAGCTTCCACTCCTTTCATTCCCTGAACCTGAATCTTGATACTTTTTACTGCAGATTGATCCAAATGTATAATGATAGGAGACAAGGGAAATTATTATAATTTTCTTAAAATTTGCTTGTTCCATAAGAGTAGACTACAACAGGCCTAAGAGACAAAAACAAAACAAACAAAACAAAACAAAAAACAAAACAAAAAATAACCCAAAAAACAAAAAAACAAACAAAAAACACAAACCTCTAGTTGATTGAAAGCTTATTATAGATTTGGAAGGCACTGGGCTCCAAGAATTTCAACTGATACATTTACCTTCCTTTATTTGTAAGAAAATACTAAAGGAAGTAGGGTGGAAGAGGATGAAGAGGTGAGGTTATTTGTATGGGGAATGATTAGAAGCAATTTATTCATCTCCTAACCTCCCCAGTGCCACTCCTTTTATGGAGGAATTAATCTGTAAATACAAAAACAGAGTAGTCTGAACTGAGTAGAAGAACAAAAGCAGAAAGGAACACTAAGCTAGAAAGGCAGACAGCTAAATATATATATATATATATATATATATATATATATATATATATGCCTAAGCGACCGAATGACCCGTCGCTATGATGCGCACTGACCACCAGGGGAAAGACACTCACTGCAGGAGCTGCCCCATGGTGGTCAGTGGGCTCCCATAACAGAAGTGCTGCTCAGCCAGAAACTGGGCTCATAGCTGGTGAGCACAACTGCAGCGGTGCAAGTCTCTCCTGCCTCCTCAGCAGCACTACCAAGCGGTGGCAGGAGGGGCAGCAAGGCTGGGATTAGCAGGAGCAGTGCTGGCTCGGGCTCCTCCCAAGCTGCCTGCCGCTTTGCGTACTCCCAATGGGTCCTCTATTGTGAGAGAGTGCAGGCCAGACTGAGAGACCTCACCAGTGCATGAACCCATGCACTGGGCCTCTAGTGGTAATATAAATAGCCTTCTCCTGGCGCCTACATAATAGTTTAGATTATACTGTATTTTGTTACAAACGAAATGCAACGACATATTTTATTTATAACATGCCAATGTCTTCCACTATTTCAAGATGTTTCTCAGAGTAAATTTCATAGTTACTTTCAGGCATATTTGTAATAAAAACTGACATGTATTTATTCTGGACCCAAGCAATTCAATGCAGATTAGAACTTAGACATTTCAGAAGATTCTTTTCACATTGTGAAAAGAGGCACAATTTGGAACCAAACACAACGTTAGTAGGTGACATTTATGGCTCATTTTGGGGGAAAGCAGATTTCCAGCAGATATTTACTTAGGAACATATTCTGCTTCTTAGTCCAGGGCAGTGGGTCTTTAGCATCTTTTATAGACTGTATTCAATCATTTAGTTTGTTCTTGAATTCTGAAACCCGGCTATGTATCTGTGAAGAGATTATATTGGCTTAACTATAAACTATGACAAAATGAATCTACTAGTATGTTATGATCATAAAACACTTGGTTTATTACCTATAATCTGAGCTGCAGCATCCTAGTTAAGAGACTAGGACCTCATCTCTCCCTGCCAGCAATTTCCTGTTTCCAATCTAGGCATCTCTTTAGTTTATGATCCTTTACTAGATTCCTTCTGAAACAACCATCATATTTATTTTATGGATTAATGTGATATTGATTTCCTTTAGGCTTTAATGTGTGACAGGATTAAACATTCTATTATCAGATCACAAAGCAAGTCTTTGGAAGACAACACACACACATCCTTATCTCTCTACAGACTATACTGTCAGAAGAGCTAAGATTTCGACCTCAAAGGTGATGTAGGTCTGTCAGGCTTCATATATATATATATATATATATATATATATATATATATATATATGTGTGTGTGTGTGTGTGTGTGTGTGTGTACATACATTGATTTTTTACAGAGAGGAAGGGAGAGAGATAGTTAGAAACATCGATGAGAGAGAGTCATCGATCAGCTGTCTCTTGCACACCCCCCACTGGGGATGGGCCCGCAACCAAGGTACATGCCCTTGACCGGAACCGAACCCGGGACCCTTCAGTCCGCAGGCCGACGCTCTATCCACTGAGCCAAAGCAGTTTCAGCAGGCTTCTTTTATAAAGGCTGATACATTGATTCCTTTCTAGGAATTGGGACTCAAATTATGCCTCAGCCTCAGTTAATCTGTGACTAGTAATAAAGATTTCTGCTTGTTCTACTATCATATGAACCCCTAGAAATTATGATGATGGCACAAATTCGACCTTGGGGGTGCTCCCATATCAGCTTGAAGCCCAGGCTCATGCAGAATCTCTGCAGGGCACCTGCTCAGCTAGGATCAATCTGAGAACATTTTCTGTGCTGCATGGAGCCATTCACCTCTGTCTATACAGACCTTGTCCCAAGACTTATTCTGGAATGGTGCCAACTTCAGCTGTCAGAAAGTTAAAGAAATAAAAACACCCCTAGAACTATATACAGGAATCGGGTATACACTGTGCTATCTCCCTGTGTTTTAAATTGTAATTGAGAGGCAATGTCCAAGAGATGTGCTGCATTTTCATTATGTTGCATCACACACACCTAAGTCAGTTCTACATGCATTGATTTTGGAGGAAATAAAACAGGCAGGTGTTGAACCATTATTTTCTGAATGCAAAAGATTACATGTATTCCCGAACTTCTTGATGATAGTTCACTTCCCCCAGTGCTTTGCTGAGACTGTAGTTCCTCCTTTGAAACACCCTTCCTCCATCCCTCCTCTTCACTCTGGTCCTCTGAGTGTCATCTGAAGGTCAGGCTAAAGTACTGTCACACGCAGCAGGAAGAGACTGGAAAGAAGGAGTCAGATAGACTAGTTTGCCCAGAACCTGTCAGTCTTGCCCAAGAAACTCCAAGCACTAGATCACACGTGAAAATCATCCACACGTGAACAGAAGTGTTGTGGGGACAGTCTCTCCTTTGCAAAGAGAAAAGCTAGCAGATGTTATTTCTTAGCTGTGCTGTGATGTGCACTAAGCTGCACAACAAAGCTGACATTTTTAGAAGACAGTGATCTTTTTTCTTTTTTTAATCTTGTTCATGCATTCAGTAACGATTGTTGAATACATTGTTTATATACCAGCTTCCATCACCAGAATGTGCCAATGCAAAGATGATGCCTGACTACAAAAACAGTCCAAGGGACACAGTTTCCAATAAATAACTGGGGTTTCCTGGGCACAGGACAGGGGCTGGGGAAGGGAACAGTGGGGACAGGCTTCCTAGAGAGGCTTGAGGGAAGCACATGAGCAAAAGAGGGAAGTCAGTGGGTACTCCTATAGCTGACAAAACATTTTTAAAATCCAGAAGGGCCAACCCAAAAGAAAAAAAAGGAGAAAAGATATGAATGGATAAGTCACAGGGAAAAAAAGGAAATGCAAATGGTATCTAAGTATAAAAAAACACCAATGATTTATAATT